GTTTTCTCAACTCGCCATCTTCACATGAAACTGGTGATGAACATCTGTTCAATGCAATATCAGAAGAATGTCAGAAAAAGACAAGTTTTATCGACTTTTCCCATCCACCGTAATTCGGAATCGTTATCATTGTCTAGGTCGATGTTGTTATTTTGTCGAGAAAAAAAAAAGACAACTTCAACACATGGGATGTTAAAAGAAGGTTAAGATAAAAGTACTTACCTCAGGATGTGTTCCTCTTATTTCCTTGCAGACAAACACCTGTTTTCACCCGTTTCTTTTTCTTTCTCTTCGGGCCTGCTGTAGCATTCAACGTGAAATCAAATCACACTGAACACACTTTTCAACAAAACAAATCACTGCTAAATCATTTGAGCTGTTCTGTGTTTTAATCCCTACATTCCCCACCCATCCTGCTGTGGTATGAACATCTGTTGGTTTATGTCTGTGTCCACAGATCCCCGGTTGTATACGGTTGTATTATCATTTAATGCTTTTTTTTTTTTTTTAAAGTAGGGAGGTAACTCTTGACACCCGGGCTGAAAAGACAGTCGTGAATTTAGCTTTCCAATAATAGTACGGTCAGTCATCAAGCTGCCTGCATTTTCACTTTAACCATCCCCCAGTTTAGCAGATGCACAGCTGTATTGAGGGCACTGTGATCAGTAATCCCCAGACAAAGTCACATGCCTTTGCAGGACGACATCTTGAAACAAACTGTGTTTTAAACCAAAATTATATGACCTCATTGAATAGTTCACATGTTAGATACAGTACAGATACAGTAAACATAATACTAAAAAAAAAACAACACCATTCTAAAATGTTAAATTGAAAAGAATAATGCTGACCGTCATTGCAGGTAAATACATGCAAAACCATCATAAAGCCCGCCAGCGTTCAACTTGACTTATCCATTAACCAAGTACCCAATACATGTTTAATCAATAAAAATACCAACTAGATAGATAGATAGATACATAGATAGCAAGTAAATTTTTAATTTAAATTTAAATACTTTTTACTCTACTTTTAGTAGATTTTAGATACACTTTTACTTGAGTATCAGCTGTCAGCTTTTTAAAACTTCCACTTCAAACCTGCGAAAGCATGTTGCGGTAAGTATACTATACTGTATGTCCCTGTATCCCAAACTTATGTTCATTGTTTGGTTAAAACCTTCCTCCGTTAACCAAAATGTGCCTACATGATATTGATTATTTTTGCTTAGCATAGCATCTGTGCTGATAGCTAACATTTCAGTGAAGTAGAGCAGTACCAGAGTACAGTCAGAAAAATATATATAAGTTTGTGATTTTAATTGCAGTCAGTAATGAAATCATCTTAATTCATGTATAATAGACTAGCTGCTGGGTTGTTGTAGCCCAAATTATGAGCTTGGGATGGACAGTGCTAGCCCATCAAAACTACAGCTGGTTTGGGCATGCAAACTGTGCAGGCCTTTTGAGAATTTGCACTAGAGCACAGTTTGTTAATAAAGAATTGCTCAACATTTTCACTTTCTTGCATACATTGTGTTTGAGTTGGGCTGTACAATTCAAATTTGGCTCTTTATACCAGTTGTGCTTTATGTTTTATGGTGTGACTGAACATAGTTCAGACTGAATATGGTGCCAGACACTATGAATTTGGTTGGTTTAAGATTTATTTAGTTCAGTCATTGTGTCCTTTAGAGGTTAGCATAACCGTTCAAATGGATCATAGAATTCTCAGGTTAAGCCACTTGTATTTGAATTGTTGATTTAAAAACTACTAGTTGCGAATTGGACGTATGACTCAGTAACTAAGCAACTTTTAGTCAAAGTAAATTTTTAATTAAATACTTTTTACTTTACTTTTAGTAGATTTTAAGATTTTAGATACACTTTTACTTGAGTATAATTTAAAGATACTTTTACTTAATTACATTTCTTAGTACTTTTTCCACTGCTGATTTAAAAAAAAAAAAATTCTGATTTACTAGGGATGTCTGATATGAACTTTTTTACCGATATCGGATATTGTCCAAACAACCGCGGGAGCTTAAAAAGCATTTAGTAAAGCCCATGCAGCAGTTTCTCAATCTAAGTAAATAAACATTTTTATAATGAATCAAATGATAATAATTTGCAGAAACATGTATTAGTCTGTTATGGAGCGGTTACATCTATACCAACATTCTCCTACCTTTTTTGTTCCAAGGACTGCTCAGCCAGTACCACCCATTACTACAGACCACTAACAAGGTACTGAGCATCGAAGATCATTAAATTTTCAAAATAAAACACGTTTTAGACTCTATTCTTATTGTATCCGAGTCTGAATGACCTATTATTTTAAAATACTGTCAGATTACCTTTAAATAAAAAAAAAGTAAACAGATATGACTGGACTTTCTTTGAATGAAGTAAATTAGGGGCATGAAAACATTTTTGTTCCCCAAGGGGGGTTATGACAGAAAATAATTGAGAACCACTGCACAAAGCCTACATGGTATTTTTGTTGGCCATATAACTCATATCCATATACATTTTTACAGTATGCTAATAGAAATCTTAGCTTTTTCTTGTCTTAGTTTTGTGGCGATCTTCTTTATTTGTTCTGTGAGTTTTTTTTTTTTATTGCATTTTTCTTTACTTTAATTGTGAAGACCAGACTTTTATTTTGAATAACTGGGTCCAAGCGGCACTTCTACTGTTTTACAGAGCAACAATCCTAACAGGCCACAGCCCCTCACGTAGAACTTGATAGGAGATTAATGCTTAATTTCTTCATTGCAACTGAAAGTCTTTAATTAATCTGTTACCCAAGTTGTTAACACAAAATGCCAAGGCACGTAATGGACCAAAAAAAAACATCTTGTTGGAGGTTTAACCACAGATCCATGTTAGTCGTTAGCTCTTACTCAGCAGTAACTTCACTTTTTATCTTCTCTAGTGTTATGGGACCATGCGTTATCTTTTACGGACAGACTATATAGAACCGTTTTGTACGGACTACACAGAATCAAACAGAACTTGCATGATTTGAAATTTTTATTTTCTCCCCAATTACTGTCATTTTTACTTCCAAACCTGAGAAACAACGGAATGTTTGAAATGTACTACATCTAAGCCCTTATAATAATTGAACAACTTATGACAAATGGTTTTAGCACCAGGCACTGTTTTTCCTGCAAAACTGAGGTATTCGTTTTTTGGTTGTTTTTTTTTAGCTTAGAGTAACACAAAAATATTGTATACGGTAGGTAGAAAAAGGACATCACCCACTATTGTTTTTTGGTTGTTTTTTTTTAGCTTGGAGTAACACAAAAATATTGTATAGGTAGAAAAAGGACATCACCCACTATGCCTGAGTGTTTCCTTCTGTGTGCACTTCACAGTGTGTGTTTATCAAAGAGGTATTCTCCCAGAGAGCCATGGGTATCAGACGCAGTGATGGAAGTCAGGCTTTTGTTGTAATCACCAAGCTTCTTGATGGTGTCATAGCTATCCTCCAGAAAGTTCTGCTCCAGAAAGTCACAGAGCTGCAAAAAAAACAGTACACAAAGAAGACACTTTGGAACTCAAATTGGCATAGTTTAAAATATGTCATATTTGCTTAAATATGTGAAATGTCATCATGTAATATTATTATTTTTTTCTGCATTTTCCAAACCAAAGAAAGACAGACTTACGTGAGGGTCTGTGTTCCCATCTGCTCTGCGATGCACTTCTAGTATGCAAGCATTCAGCGACTTCTGAAAGTCCAGGGAAAAAGACATGGCATCCAGGCCACCTTTCCAATCATCTCTGCTTGGCTTCTAAAACGCACAGTTTTATATTTCATTGGTCAGTCTTTTTTTACTGGTTGT